ACATTGGACCTTCAAGTCACCATTTTCTTGCAGGAATTTCCCATTTTCGAACATCAAGTCTGCATTTTCCTGCAATAGTTTCCCCTTTTCAGCCATAAGATTTTCGTTTTCTTCCTTGTAACTTTGAATCTCTTTCTCAAGCCTAATTTGCTTATCTTTAAGTCGCAGCAGGAGATCCCTGGGTCTTCCCTCAATCACCTCATCACCATCAAGAAAGTGGAAGAAATCGCATGCATTCCCAGCCTTCCCAACCTTTCCAACCTAAATAGCATGAAATTAGTAGTTTAGGGTTTTTTCAAAAATTTTCGTTCTAAACATGAACAACTCACCTCGAATTTAGGACATCCCCAAAATCTTCTTCCCATGTTTTGGTAAGTCAGTGACGTTCTCAAAACAGCATCCAAACCGCACGTGCAAACATATTTTTTTCCAAGAAAGCTGCTAGTTGATGCAGAATCAGTGAACGAGTTGCTTCGCGAAAGCCCACCCTCCATTTTGAACGAAAAAAGGAACGATCGAAAGCAAGAAGATGATTTCTGGAAAGCAAGAAGATGATTTCTAGACAGGGAACTGGAAAAAAAAAATTGGAGAATTTAGGGTTATGTTCTGGTAGGGTTCAGGGACAATCGACTTATATTTACCGCGTATTTCAGAATGTGGGGCCCACTGTTTATGGTTTTTTTCATTTTCGCGCGCGGGAGAGTGACGTGGCGAGTGACGTGGCGAGTGACGTGGAAGGTGTCAGAAGTCCACGTAAGCATTTTTTACATGTTGGCAAACCACGTCAGCTGTTCCAGTTAAGTTAACGTGCCACGCGAGCAAAATTTGACGGAGGGACTAAAAAGGGGCCGGATTTTAAAATTTAGGGACCAAAAAAGGGATTTTCTCGGTACAGGGACCAAAAAGGGGCTTTTTGCTATAGTAGAGGGACCAAAAAGGGTATTTAACCATAATTTATTAATAGAGGAGTATAAGCAATACTCCTTAAAGACATTATAACTCTATGTCCCTAAATCCAGATGCAAATAGGTTACATATTGAGAAAGAAATGGAGAAGTTCACAAAACAGCTCAAGGAAGAAAATGTAAAAACAAATCAACACATCACCTTATTCAACAACTTGTAACTTCTCAAATTATTGTGATGTTGCACCATACTTTCTCTATATTCCACAGGCCTTAGTATCCAGTCTTGATAAGTGAACCCACAACCTGTCACTTTATTTTTTAACCATACAAAAGATTTAATTTGAATGGACTTTAACAACAGTTCCTCATTGTCATAACTCAAATTTTTGTCCAAAAAAATTTTTAAAAAAAATAAAAAATATAAAAATAAGAATTTTCCCCTTTTATTTAACTAAGCTATCTATATTTTTATTTTGTTTCAGGGACTACATGCAAAAAGAAATTTAAGAAGAAATTGGAAAAGAAACTCAAGAAAGAGGACTCAATCGAAGAAATTGAAAGGCTAAGGATGAAAACTACCAAAACCCACAATCTAGCCCAAACCCCATTATTGAGCCCACCAGCAAATTTAAACCAAGGCCCAAACCCAACCAAAACCCACTAAATTATCCAAACCCAAATACCAAACCCAAAAAAAAAAAAGAAAGGGGAAGGCATTTGGAACTTTCCCCTTCCCCCATCAATTTTTTTCATTATACTTCTCTCTCCCAAACCAGCCCTGCCTAGCCTTGCATCAGCCCGCACCTTACGCCCCCACGCACTGTGCCCGCGCCTCGTGCCCCGCGCCCCACACGCCTGCCTTGCACTAGATCCTCTCCTCTGCTGCACCAGATCCCCTTGCCGCCTGCTGCGCCGAACCCACGTTGCTTGCACGCCTGCACTCTATGCCAACATCATGACCCTGCACTGAGCCTTGCTGCACCCTTGCTGCACCCTTGCTGCTCTGCCTCTGCACGCTACAGCAGCTCCAGACAAATTAGCATTATTATTGATTGACAGAGCTAGGCTTTTTTTATTATTTTATCTTTATTTTTATCTTTTATTGGGGTATATATATAGAGAAAAATCAGATTGAAAGGAGGGTTTTTCTGGTTGATTTTCGGAGCTGGAAGGGCATTTCTTCTAGTATTGAGGCCGGGGGTTCCGATTATGGAGATTGATTTGGGTTGATTTCGGGTCTCTTGGTTGAGTTCTGGGTTTTAATTTTGGAGTCTCCGTCCGTTTGTTTCTTGGAGAACAGTAGGAGGAGATTTTCAGGAGTAGAAAGGGGGGGATTTTCTTTTTGTTGGGGGGAAGGTTTTTTTGGGGTTGATATCGGGTCTGTTGCTGGGAGATTGGTTGTGGTTGATCTGGGGGGTCTTTTTTTGATTTTGGAGTTTGATTTGGGAGTCATTGTTCTGGGTTTCGGAGGAAAGGAGAGAGAAGAAAACCGAGCTGATTCCGGCGATATTTCAGCCTCCTTTTGCTAGGTATTTTCCAGCAACAAAAGAGTCTTTTTGGGAGGCAGTGAGGGGAATGATCTGGGCTTGATCTCGTGGGTGGGATCCGCCAGATCAGACTCCGATCTGTTACCCAGAAAGCTCCGCCGTGTTTGTTTCTTTTGTCTTCCTGTTTCCGAGACATGCTTTTGTGATGTTAACGTATGTATATGTTTACTGAAAATCAATGAAAGATAAAAAAAAATGTTGAGTTTGTTTTGTGTGATGATTGTGTTTCCCTTTCTTTTTGTTAATGAATGTTTTATGTTATTTTATTTTTATTTGGAATGAATGTGTTTTTCTAAAAAAAGAAAGTAAAAAGGAGGTGAATCAGATTTTTTCTGTATGCTGTTTGATCTGTTTTGTCCGTTTTGGGTTGACGGATCGTGTTTTGTGGGTCGGGTTGACCCGACTCAATCTAACAAAAAAAAACTAAAAAAGAAGTAAAAATATATTAATTAATTAAGATAATTTACTTAATTTTATGATTAATAAAATTAATTAACTTTAATTAAAATAAATTAATTATGTTTATTAATTTTAATTTAAGATAATTATATTACTTAATTATCTCGATCAAAGATTAATAATGTGATTAATTAATTTTAATTAATTTTAATTAATGTTAAATTAATCATTTAATAAGTTAATAATCATAATTAATTAATTTAAATCCTTAATTTTCTTTAATTTGCGTCAAAGTCAAAATTATCTTTGTTTATTTCAAATTTTACCCAAAGCTTTTGTAATTAAGTAATTCAGTCCATGGGTGTCAACCCTTTTCAAATTAGTCCTCTATGTTTTGAATTTAACCAAATCAATCCCTCATGTTTCGAATTTAGTCAAATTAGTCCCCTTAATTTTTATGTGTTCATTGTGCATGCATGTCTTTGATTTTGTCCATTTTAGCCCAAAAATTTAAAAATGTCGCAATTTGGTCTATCCCTTTTTCAAGCTTGCCTATTAAGACTTAAACATAAACATAATGAATAAATTGAATTAAAAATCCCAAAGTTAAAATATGCAACCGTGTTTAAACAGAGGATGGTGAGGTGCGCGTATGCCCTTCCTCTCTCCTAATTGAACTCCCGAACCTCGATCTTTGCGCAAACTTGTTTTTAGGTGACTTATCCCACCTTATAATTTGAATGAGTGGCGACTCCTTTCTTTTATATTTTACTCTTAATTTTTCATTTATTTTGAAAATCTTAAGTGGTTGTGAACAATTTGGCGACTCTACTGGAGACAGAACCCAGAATCTCTGGTTTCCATATTTTGGGTTCACGAGGGTCGAGCTAATACTTTAACTTTGAGGAATTTTTCAGCTTTGATTTTCTTTATTTGTTGAGTCTTTGCGGGTTTTTGTCATTTACTGCATATGCTTGTTGCGTGTTGTTTGTCACTTGTTTGTTTGTTTTGGTGGTTGCTTTTTGTTTTTACCTTTAAGTGGTTAGTTTGCTATATCTTGACATGCATCATCCCTTGCTAACATATTCATGCATCATATCATCTCACATGCTCATCCATCATTGATATAACATGCTTATTCATCATGCATCATGCCTATATGCCTACTTGTTTGTGTGTGAATATACTCACCTTTTACACTTGGCTATGGAGTACTCAGTGAGTCTCTTCCCTCTTGTGCGATTATTTATATTTTGTTGCATGCTAAGTGTTGGTTGCTTTGTGTTACTAACTTTTTGCATTTGGTATAGGAGTACTAGGTGAGTCTCTTCCTTCTGTGTAAATAGGTTTGTTTGTGGATGATATATTTGTTGAGTGTTTTACATGCTTTATTTGATTGCTGTGAGATACATGTTGTTGTTTTTGTGGTTGTCATTGTGCAGGTTATTAGAGTGTCATGCCCCTTGCACACACTCACTCTTATTTTGCATTAGGTCCGTGTCGGAGGTGAACCCGACCTCTAGTTTGGAATCCTTATGAGTCTGGCTTGGAAAGGAGTAAGATTGGTTCCCGTTAGGTTGTTTCCATTGGTTAATACGACACTTGATGATGTAATATCATTCTGTGTATTAGCTTTTGGAAATATCTCCCATTGATTCCGAAAGGATAAATGGTTGAGAAGGCCTAATGCCCTTTAGGAAAACATGTAGTGGCCTTAGAGAGACATCAACCCTAAGACATGTTTCCCTTAGCATCCCACCCGTGAGGTTAGGGATCCCGTGTCTAAGACACAAAAAGGGGCATTTTACTCCACTAACCTTGTCTCCGCATATGACGGGTTTTCATTTTTATATACATTTGAGGTATGATTAGTTATTTATCTTTTGCTTTTAGACATCATTCTTGAGGTAAGGAGCATTCCATACACTTGTGTCTTCACTTTCAACCCCGTGCATAAAAAAAAAAAAAGAGATAAAGTTCATGATTGTTTCACATATGTCCATTGTATCACATTTTCCATCCCATGCATTGCAAAATATATTTTCATGTTCATCTCATGTGACATTCTTCGTTTTGTTCATTTTCATTTCATTTTTCATCTCATATTTCACAAAAATTCACAAAAAAAATGAAATTTCATCCATGTTCATTACCTTACATCTTTCATCTCATATAAAAATTGCACAAAATATAAAAAAAAATTCTCATTCACATCCATTTCACATTGCATTTTCTATCTCAATTTTTATTCCAAGCATTACTATCTTCTTCATCTCATATCTCCCTTATTTTATAAAAGTTGCAAAAAAAAAAAAAAAAAAAAAAAAAAAAAAAGAAAAAAAAAAAAAAAAGGAAAAATGCAAAAAAATGAAAATTTTATCTCTGTTTCATGCTATTAGTTTCCTTTTCATGTTTCTTCATCT